GCTGATTACTAGCTGCAATTTATGGAATGATAATATAATTTCATTTACTAATTTAATTTGGTGTTTCAATGTGTTCCATATGTGTTTGATCCAATGACCGGGGTAGTAATGTTAAGTGCTTAGAAGCCTTATAAAGGCATGAAGTTCTATATAAGAACGACATATTATTATTATTATTATTATTATTATTACTTTCATTATTGTTGTTGTCGCTGTTGCTTTTCTTTGTTGTTATATATTATTATGATATGTTCATATGATTATTATTGATATGTTTTTCTATTTTAGCAAAACCAGTAAAAGGCCTTGATTTAGAAGCTGAAGGGACCATCAATGGTACAGCTGTCTACTCCTTCGACATCGATTCATTAGAAGAAAAGCCCTGGCGGAAACCTGGTACGTTTAGAATTAGTTTATTCGTTATTGTCAAAACCTGTTCATATTCTCCCACAGGGCCGAGTTAATGCTTCAGATTCTAACCCTGGTATTCTTAAAACGAACTTTAGTCATAGTTCGAGCTAAAACTTAAAAATTACGTCACTTTGTATTCTTAAAACAAACTTCGACTAGCACTATTTTTCCGCGTTCCCGGATCTCTAAAATTTCGTTACCTATTAAAATTAGCACTTTCCATTGGTTTGTTGCTTGCCAGCCGTCTTCAGCTGAACTACAACTAGGACTTGATTTATTCATAGATAGAACTTCTACTATGTTGTTTGTGAATACAAATTGAAGTTGTAGTTGCAACTAAGACTAAATGATGTTCTAGTTCAAAGTTTAACTAAAGTTTGGTTTAAGAATACAGGCGTTAATCTAATCAAAGATAATAGAAGTAGATAATAGACCAGTTGCGCGATATATAGTGGAACGTGCGGTCGAAATGCATTGTGGGAGGATGGGGCCTATTAAGAGCAATTTTACTCCGTCAGAGTGGCGGAGCTATATCTTCATAATCAAGGGTGCCACTTCGGTTCGTTTCTTTAGTTTTTCGACTTAGATAGTCCTCTGCTCGCATGAGGGCGGACGTTCCATCAATTTTAATGCAAGCTACGTGAAGAGCTCATTCTATTTAAGATCTTTGGTCTAATACAAGATGGAGAAAGGAGCTATTTTTAGTTGTGACTATATAAATTCGGTTTTTTTAAAGGATTTGAGCCGAGGATTATGATAGTATGGAAAACATCTTGACTACTAAGCTTACAGCCTCTCTACTTCATAATTCCAAAATTTGACTGATTAAAGGTTAAAATGAAATATTGTATTTAAACGTATTGATGTATATACTGCATAAACTATAATACATGTAATATAATTGTATTGTTGTATTGTATAAAAGGTGCCGATATCACAGATTATTTCAACTATGGGTTCAACGAAGACACATGGAGTATATATCGAGAGAAACAAAAACGACTACGCTCCGATCCAAATTTACAGTCTAAATTACCTGTCCAAACCTATGTGAGTTCTATTTTCAATATGTCTTTCCTATCGCCAGGTCTCAGGGCTGAGCCATTTAATATTTCTGATAACTATGCCCCAGAGCTGTGTCAGTATGGACCTTTTGAAAGTGTCGATCTTGCTTAACAACTGGCCAATGAGTACCAGGCCACAAACACAAACACAAACACATGTGTACCCCTACAGACATGCATGTTGTCCCACAGATTCATGTGTTTACCTATATTTATGCTGTTGTTATTAAGAACCTTAAACATTATCCAAGGAGTGGGGCTTAGCTCAAAATGTCCATTAAGAAAGCCCTTTTCAAATCTGTCTTGTTGAGATGTAAGTGATGAAGTGAGTTGCAAAGCAGGGGATTGACCCTTGTCCCTTGACCTCAAGATCGATAGAATTTGACACAATGATCTCCATAATTCAATTCAGTAGTACTACATGTTTTTATCCTGTTGCATTTACTTTTTAATACTGTAGTACATTGAGCAAGAGTTTAATGGTTAGAGTAAAGTAAAGTGAGTTGCAAAGCAGGGGATTGACCCTTGTCCCTTGACCTCAAGATCGATAGAATTTGACACAATGATCTCCATAATTCAATTCAGTAGTACTACATGTTTTTATCCTGTTGCATTTACTTTTTAATACTGTAGTACATTGAGCAAGAGTTTAATGGTTAGAGTAAAGTAAAGTGAGTTGCAAAGCAGGGGATTGACCCTTGTCTCTATACATATTCCTCATCAGTTCAGTTGCCACTTGCCCAATGGCGAGTGGCAAGTTTCAAATTTAAAACTGTCCATCATAGAAAGGTCAAACCTTCAAACCATACATCCTACTAATGATTGCTTTTTTATTACTCTTCTTATAATACACAGGTATGGGCAGGGTGTAAATATACGTAGTTCATATAAGGGAGCAGTTACAGGTAAGAATGTAGCAAGGCTATATCATTTTAATAAGCCAATTCGTAGTTTGAAGTGCACATGCCCATATCAAGGTCAATCGACAAAAAAAAAAAACATACACACAGCATAGGTTTATGTCAATTGACCTTGTATATTCGGACATGCACAGTTGGAACTACAAATTGGCTTGTTGTAATGCAGAGTTTTTGTGTCTACTGCCCCATGGGGGCTGTAGTTGTGAGAGTAAATCCGGTTTGAGAGTTCAAAGTTAAAAGAGAGGAATTATGGGTATATTATTGCATCATCATAAGCTAAAGAAAACTATGTCAAGCAGTTACACACATGCTTTCACTGGAAGTCTATTTTTAACATTGTTCGCAAGATACAAGAAACACTCTATCTCTCTATTCATAAATCACATGTTAGTCACTATTTAGTGATGTGAAAATGTGATGAAATAATTATTGTGATTATTTATTTTTATTATGGTTGTTGTTGTTATGTTGCTGCTTGTGTTATTGTTACTTTCATTATTGTTGTTGTCGCTGTTGCTTCTCTTTGTTGCTGTATATTATGATATGTTCATATGATTATTATTGATATGTTTTTCTATTTCAGCAAAACCAGTAAAAGGCCTTGATTTAGAAGCTGAAGGGACCATCAATGGTACAGCTGTCTACTCCTTCGACATCGATTCATTAGAAGAAAAGCCCTGGAGAAAACCTGGTATGTTTAGAATTAGTTTATTCTTTATTGTCAAAACCTGTTCATATTCTCCCACAGGGCTGAGTTAATGCTTTAGATTCTAACCCCGGTATTCTTAAAATGAACTTTAGTCGTAGTTCGAGCTAAAACTTCAAAATTACGTCATTTCGTATTCTTAAAACGAACTTCGACCAGCACTACGGCTAAATCATGTGAACCTCAACTAAAATCATAACTCCTCATTTCGATTTTTTTAGTCAGCCTAAGGTCAGGCTAAATCGCCGACATGAAATATTTACCACACTAAAAACGTACTTTTTGTAACTTACGATAAAATGAAATGAATAAAAACGATTGTATAAGTAGGTGTGATGTATCTCCAGTGTGTTCAAGGAAAGGGACATTACGTTTAGCTTCCAAAAGGCGAAATTAACATGTTTTGCTAGCCACATGCAACAGTTCCTGATTTGCAGATATTAAGTTCTTTGGTCTAATACAAGACTTAAGTGATGGAGCTATTTTTAGTTGTGAGAATATAAATTCGGTTTTTTTTAAAGGATTTGAGCTGAGGATTATGATAGTATGAAAAACATCTTGACTACTAAGCTTACAGCCTCTATACTTCATAATTCCAAAATTTGACTGATTAAAGGTTAAAATGAAATATTGTATTTAAACGTATTGATGTATATACTGCATAAACTGTAATACATTTAATATAATTGTATTGTTTTATTGTATAACAGGTGCCGATATCACAGATTATTTCAACTATGGGTTCAACGAAGACACATGGAGTATATATCGAGAGAAACAAAAACGACTACGCTCCGATCCAAATTTACAGTCTAAATTACCTGTCCAAACCTATGTGAGTTCTATTTTCAATATGTCTTTCCTATCGCCAGGTCTCAGGGCTGAGCCATTTAATATTTCTGATACCTATGCCCCAGAGCTGTCAGTATGGACCTTTTGAAAATGTCGATCTTGCTTAACAACTGGCCAATGAGTACCAGAACACAAACACATGTGTACCCCTACAGACATGCATGTTGTCCCACAGATGCATGTGTTTACCTATATTTATGCCGTTGTTATGAGGAACCTTAAACATTATCCAAGGAGTGGGGCTTAGCTCAAAAGGTCCATTAAGAAAGCATTTTTCAATATCTGTCTTGTTGAGATGTCAGTAATATAGTGAGTTGCAAAGCAGGCGATTGACCCTTGTCCCTTGACCTCAAGAACGAGATAGCCTTTGACACAATTATCTCCATAATTCAATTCAGTTGTACTACATATTTTTATCATATTGCATTTACTTTTTAATATTGTAGAAGATTGAGCAAGAGTTTGGTGGTTAGAGTAAAGTAAAATGAGTTGCAAAGCAGGGAATTGACCCTTGTCCCTTGACCTCAATATCAAGATAACCTTTGACACAATGATCTCCATAATTCAGTAGTACTACATGTTTTTATCCTATTGCATTTACTTTTTAATATTGTAGTAGATTAAGCAAGAGTTTAATGGTTAAAGTAATTTTTTTTTTCTTTATTTTAGATACCTATTCAAAAGCAAATAAAGGAGATTCCAACAGTAGGCTGTAAGTGTGTGGTATATTTATCTACTTATTATTAGTATTACAGTGGATTTGTGCCCTTTTATATGGTGAATCACTGTTCAACATTTCTTTGAAATGAATAGATATACTATATACTTTTCTCATTTTATTAGAAAAATTGCACCATGGGGATGAGGCAGTGCTTTTACTGAGCAGCGTGAAAGGAGCATTTCTAGTTATTAGTGTATTGCTAACAATGATACTAAAATATAACTACAACTATATACTATTACTACTGCTGTTGTTTGTATTACTACTAATCGATATGATCTATATGCTAATTATTGTTCATCTTTTATGTGTTTAGCTAACAAGTCCAACTCCTTTCATAAGCCATACACTAAGGAGCCTTCAAGCAGTACTATCCAGACGGTAGGAACAATCACAACGGTGTCCAGTCGTCGAAGGAACAACAGCACAGATTTGTAAGTTAGAACCTAACTCTCCTTTAATTTTTATGTTGTTGAAGTGTGGTTTTCACAAACTCTTTACATGCCTTTGTAGACAGCTAATGCTATCAGCAACTATTTATCGCAAGTGCCAATGATATGTCGAACAGTGAACTTAGTCACTTTTGCAGTCCTTTCACAAGACTAGCATACATACAAGAGAGTGGTTGAGGAAAAGCTGATGACATTTTGTGAATGTTGCGGATGACCTTCCAGTGGTCATGGATCATAGTAGAGGAGTGTGACGTAGCATGTATGGTGTTGATCTTTCAATGGAAAGGTCGGGTTTGAGAGGCATGCTCATCACACCACTTGTGTGCTTGGGCAAGACACTTTATCTGCATTTGCCTCTCTTTACCCAGGAGTTTAAATGGGTTCCTGGTAGGAGGTGAATGATTCAGAATGAAATTAGCAGAGTGCTGATTACACGCATAACTTGGAATAAACCCCCGGAGGGCGGAGAAGGTTGCATGTTGTGTATGATTGATTCTGTATCCTATTACCAGGGGAAAATAGCGCCTTGAGTAGTTATCTGGATATGTGCGCTATATAAGTCCTATGAAATAATAATAATAATAAAAAATAATAATAATAATAATAAAAGCTGATAAATCGGGAAAGTTGAACCTAGTTCTACTTTGCAGATGGGGAGTCTTCCCAATTGCAGTATGGACAACTATTGAATGTAGCAAGTGATATGGGGACAGTCTGCCAATTTTCTGATAACCAGGCTTTAGCTGAACCCATTCTAACGTATTGATGCATGTAGAGAAGTCATATATTTATCCTGTCACCTGGTCTCAATATTATTTCATTTCAGGTTTGATGAGAATTTTTCTCCAACGCTAGAGGATCATGGTGGTCCTCCACCACCAATGCAGATGCCTCCTCCTGGATATGGTGGACCGCCCCGTCACTCTATGCCACCAACATCGGGGCCTCCACCAATGCGGCCTGGACCACCTCCTATGCCTGTTCCCCCAAGACAAGGTAGGTGATTAATTCAGAACTGTTTACTATTTCATAGCGTGAACTGTTTACTATTTCATAGCGTTATTAAGGTTAATATTAAGTTTAGTAGATGTTACTTTACAAAAAAAAAAAAAAATTGATGATAACTATGTTGCATGTATTTGGATTTTCAGTGGTTAAGGTTAATATTAAGTTTAGTAGATGTTACTTTACAAAAAAAAAAAAATTGATGATAACTATGTTGCATGTATTTGGATTTTCAGTGGTAGTTTGGTGTTCTTCCTGCAAAAAAGAAAAGTATTGGCCTCATGGTAGTCTTTGCCAACTTGTTCCCCCTTATCAAAAACCTAAATCAACCCCTGATTCTTATAGATTCTATATATAGAGTAGCAAGTATTAATTTTGTATTGCAGTTTATGTCACATTTTAAAAATTATTTTTAAGAGTACATAAAATATACATGAATGAAAGGTAGCATGAAAGTGTATTATTAACATTGTATTATTTAGCAGTCAAACTTAGCAGAATGTTGTTTACATTTTTCAGGCCCACCACCAATGATGCACGGCCCTCCACCAGGTATGGGCGGACCACCAGGGCATGGTTTTCCGCCAGCTGATAACAGACCCCCTCCAGGCAGTGAGTCCACATATCTTTTTTATTTCATAAATATCATTATTATTTAATTATCAATATTATTGTTGTCCTCATTATCAATATTCACATTAAAAATGGTGTAACAGTGTTTAAAAATTGAAATGGCATAAAGCTGTATTTAATTTCATTAATATATTATTAACATAATTTATAAAATTATGCTCAGATATTAAGACTTTCAAGCTTCTCAAATCCACACTAGCCACTTCACACCACACAATCCCACCTACACACCCTCACAAACTCTACTACCTGTACCAAACACATAATTTTCAGTCACATCTATTCAACTTATTGCTTCTTACATCTAAAGTTAAAACAACATAATTATTGTATTATTTGTGATTGAAATATTTTAATGTTCACTATATATTTTGGCTTGTGGTACTAATCAACTTTATATTATTGCTGTTCAGTGCCACCCCCTATGCCAGGACCACCTCCAGGGCCACCTCCGGTCAGTATGGGAATGGGACCACCACCCCCACGTCACATGGGGCCCCCACCGCCAGGATATCAGGACCCTTATTACAGAGGTAAATACACAGATAACTATTCACTGTGATCTTTTTTTAGTTAGTACTAACGGTACATAGGCTAATATATAATACATAAAATTAATACATACAAAGGTGCTTAATTAGATTAATATATTATTAAATAATCATTTATATGTTGTTTTCTTCTTGGTGATTGAATTATGAAATTTGCATAAAAGACCAAAGTGAATTTAGTATTCGTTTTTCCCTCTAGATCCATCATATGCTCCACCACCCCGGTTTAGTGGACCCCCGCCACCCCATCAAGGTCCACCTCCAAATGGCTGGGGTGGTCCGCCACCGCCAGGTGGTCCACCACCACCGATGGTGCACAGTGGACCTCCGCCACCACATGGAGGTCCACCACCGCCTCATGGTGCCTTTCCACCATTTACCAAGCCACCCCCTGGACAGGGGTATTCTGAGGAAAGTGATATTAGCAGGTGGGGCTCAATCTTTTTTTCTACTCTTCTTTTTCTATTTTATTATTTATATTTATTTTATTTTATTTATTTATTTTTTTTATATTTTATATTTTTTTATTTATATTTTTTAAATTATCATTTCTTATTTTATAAATATTACACTCTCCTTGTAATTAATCTTACAGTATTGATGAATTAACTTAGGCCTTCTTTCACTATCAATATTACTTAGCTTAAGTTAATTTGGAGGCACAGATTTAAAACCTTAATGGCTTAAATTGTGTCCTCCGCACACAACCTTACTATTATTATTATGATTATTATTTTTATTATTATTTTTTCTATTATTATTACTATTATTATTTTTATTATCGATTATTATATCTTCACTTATTACTATTTACTGTAATTTAATAATTTAATATTACTTAATTAGATTACATTGTCCTTGTTATTTATTTACCTTTCTGAAGAATTTTATATTGTATTTTTGCATTGTGTGACATAAAATAAAATGAAATTATGCTTCGTTCACTCATCTTGTTTTTATTTTGCCATTTCTTTCTTTCCCTTCGTTTTTTTATTTTTTTTAATTTGTTTTATTCTTTTCTTTCTAAGCTCAAATCTTGAATGGCTCTTTTAGGTTGGATAGAGTGAAAGTGATGATAACAAAAGATATTTAATACTGCTCTTCATAAGCCTTAAATTTTTTTCTTTTTCATTGCAGTGGCAGTGATCATGACGAACCAAGTAGAAAATATCGAGATGGTGAACACAGGACCAGGCACAGAGACCGTGACGGTGAGCGCGGCGAAAGAGACAGAGATCGTGAGAGGAGCGAAAGAGGAGAAAGAGACAGGGACAGGTAAGGCCACATACAAGTTGATTTCGCTGTTCTTTCAAGACATCCTAAATTAATCATAAAATATTAAATTGTACTTTGAACTTGGTTATATTGAGATCAATTTCATTTCTTGAACTTCTAATTTTTTTACCCTTTCTAGGGACCGTGAATATCGTCGTAGATCTGATAGAAGCCATGATAGGGACAAAGACCGGGAAAGACGGCATAGGGATAGAGAAGAACGACATCGATCATCTAGAAGGTAAGCAAATTTATGTGTGAATAAATGTTGAAGAATTAATAACGTCCTCTCAGATAACAAGTACAGGTAATTTACATAATTCTTTCTTTACATTTGAAGTTCACGGCGACATGATGAAGATAGAGAACGCAGTTCCAAAAGAAGAAGGGAAGAACCCAAAGAAGCCTAGCTGCAATTACATCAAGATAAATATGTGCTGTTATTGGTTACTGCTTGCTGGGACTTTATCAAAGGTCATAGATGGTTTGGTCTGTTCAAAATGATACGGACGCTTAACCGTGTTCTTTGACTCACGATCAACATCTAGGTTATGGTTCAAAGGTGAAATACCATGCTTAGAAAGTATGCAACATACTGTGGATCTAAACCAGGATTATTTATGTGATTGGAAACGATGTTTTCGTAGATGGTGAATATGGATTTGAATAGCATAAATTATGTGTGCATTTGTAAGCATGACAATGGACGATAAAATGACATTCTAAGCGGTACAACCAAATCAAGCAAGGCCACACATTTAAAATTCGCCACTTAAGTCTGTGTTTGATTGTAATCTTTTTGTACGCTGTCGATTGATTTTAAGGATAATGATATTTGTAAAACTGAATGTAATTCTCTCTTATAGTTAATCCGAAAGTGGGCCACATATTGATCTAATATAGGCCAGGTGAGGCTACCTCGATAAAGCACTTGAAAAAGACCAAGGTCTGATATACATATTATTTTACTATCACATAGTAAAAAACTAAAAATTGTGTTTAATAGTTTTTAATGCCCTTAACTGTTTGGAATACCGGTATTGAATCAGCTCCATTTTTCCCATATATAGGCATGATGATGCCATATTTGGCCAAATCGTAGGAATTTTTTACATAAACTTGAGAGTTTTAAAAGAACTTACCAAAAAATTTGCTGCCACTCAGAATGGAATGATTGTTTCCTGTATGTCATTGTAGGTAAATCTTTATTGGGGAAAAAAAAAAAAACAAACAAAAATAGAAATCTCTTGCACTGCCCAAGGGGTAAATATGAAATGCTTACACTACAACAGACATTTGCACTGTATCAGGGATGTGATATATATATTAGACACCTCCCTGATTTTATGGTGTACTACTCTGGCAAGTCGCACCACTTCGTTACCGTACAACCACCAATTCACAACAAAACCAGTTTCTACAAGGCAATTCAATAAAAGGACCGCACATCTCCGCTCTCGAACGTAGCACGTGCGTACATTCCTTTGATCTTTACTGTGGCATCAACAATTCGATACTAGTTGCGAGTACAGCCGTCAATTATTAGTCTATGCGTGCCATACGTATTATGGTATTAGTTACTATTTTATTAATTCTGTTACATTTGATTTCTTTTGACCACGAGCTTGTTAAATGCTTCTATAAACTACAATTTGTTTCGTAAAAACTGACTAACAAAATAAAAATTTGAAATTAAAAATTTACGATTTTTGTAAAATTTCATGTTCTTCTATAACATTAAACTGTCCTTTTGACAATGTTGGACCAAGGTGCACAAAATGAACATTTGAGTAGATACAGAAAATTTATTTGTTTTTTCTGTGATGCGAGTCTCATGAACGAGCATATACACCACAACATAGGTAAAATGCATGTTGATATAACAATATAATTTCAATCTAATATTAGTGCCTTTGTACTCACCGCACGATGCGTGATTATCATGGCAACTGACACACACATGGGTGCTGTTGCTACGGTTTTTGTGACGATCAGCGCATGTTAAACTCAGTCAAGCGTGTTGGGGCGCGCGACGCATAGAATGACGATACCAGAGTTATAAGCTTTGATGTGCGTCCTTTTGTTGAATTGCCTTGGTTTTTGTAACTTTCCAACCTTTTTTTTGTTTAACAATTCATGGCCAACAAGACTTGGCTTTTGGAACAATATTTCTATAAATAATTTTTAAAAAAAACCATCCCCAAAATGGTATAAATTCAACAAGTATGCATTCAATGCTAACTCTGTAGTTAGTTTTTCAACTTTAAAGCAATTATCTCTGTGCTGTTGATTTTATTGTAAGGAGAACACAGTTCTAAATGGATGAGGAAATATATGTAAAGTTTGTAAATAATTGTCTTGTTGGTTTTATTGACTCATTTTGATTTTTTTTTTTTAAGGCATGTTCCAAAGGATTTATCTGCAAGTAACACATTATCCTCTCATTAGTTTTCCCTTATTAAGTATTCATCCAAACCACCATCATAATATACAGAAAATATTATGGATAATAATTTTGATTGTAGAATATACTATGATGGAATATACTTAAATCAATTGAATTTTCGCCAGCCATTTAATCTCTTAAAACATATTTGCATCAAATGAACAATTTATTTTTTTAATTTTGTTTTATTAATTTTTGTTCTTATTTTATATTATGAACTCTGGGAGGAGGGGTGGGGGTAAGTTAAGATAGGGGCAAATCTCAATTAGACTTTTTCACTCCTATTGTATAACATTTGTATGTAGTTTTTTTTTGCATATATAAAGAAAGTTAAATGTTGCTTTCCTATTCATTTTTTTGGGCTGTAACTGTTTTTCTCTACATATTTATATACTGTACAGTACATATGGAATACAATTGATTACGGTACTAATAATGAGTAAAGGATGGAGTAGCTATTTAGATATAAAGACAACACTTGTTTTCAAAGTTTATTTTTAAACATCAGCATAAGTTAGGCCTACTCTCCGTGTTATATAAATATGATTTTTAGCTGCTGTTCGTATTTTAGCAATATAGTACTTTCGTTATACTTTACGGGTATCATCTTTAATGATGTCGAAGGGCTAACTACAACGTTATATACTTCAGTCATTTTATTTGTACAATATTGGCAAACATGCACAACATGTAACCTTCTCCACATCTGGGAGTGAGTGTTTCAGTGGCGTATCCAAGATTTTGAAGAGGGAAGTGCTGAATAGAAATATTACATCCACCAAATTTACGTATGGCGCAAAACTACAGACGGGGCACGATGGATATGAACACAATAAATTGGTTGTTATCATCTAGAGTGACTTAAGTTGTCATTTATCTCAGATAAGAAAGTATAATACATACTCCAAGTATTGAAATACACGCCATCGTGTTGGGATTCAATATTTCGACATTAATTATGTCATCATATTGAATCCCAACACGATGGCGTGTATTTCAATACTTGTCATTTATTTCCATTAATTTACTATTATTTGTACATATGCTAGGTATCCTTTGTTATAGAAGATTCTCACAACCAAGCATTCCTAGCATCTGACATCAAAGTTCAAATACTCAACCGATGAATTCTAAACTAAAACGAATATTCATCCAAAACCATCGTCATAACTTTTTATGTGCCCCTACTCTGAATAATTTCAAAAGACTATCAGCACCGTGCCCTGGCGTGAGTATACCAAGAGCCACCTTCCGTTCTATCACACCAACTGAGTTTTCAACGGCAGGATTCGTCTTAAATGCCTCCATTATGTTTTCGCGTATATGATTCCACATCCAGACCGTCTGTTGTCGCTGTCGTTTTCTCACCAGATCACCTGAATCGGTCATCGCTGTTTGGTATTTAAGCATCTTATCCCATGCTTCAGGTAGACCATCTTTCGTTTTTGATGACACCTTTAAGACCTGAAAGAGAGATGATATAGTTTATAAATAGTTATGAAATATGTACAACATTCAATATTCAACTAATTTAATAATAATCTAATAATTCAATAATAATATGTTGGACTTATATAGCACTTGCGCCAACAAGGCCTCTAAGCGCATTATCGCTTGCCTCTTCGCCCCGCTCATTGAATCAAGCACATATGGAACACATACTTAGCTCCCGGGGGAGAATTCCCTGTTTCAGCTGTAATCAACGCATTGTATTTGAACCTACCAGGTACCCACTTGTACTCCTGGGTAGAGACAACCATAGGTATAGGGTTTTGCCCAAGAACACAAGCGAAATTCACAGCGACGGATTGGACCTCTGACCTCAAATAAGCACAAACAGCAGAACCAAACCGCTCCTACATTTGACAACTTGTGGCACAGCGGTTAGGTATAGGCTTCCAATTTAAAGATTGAGGTTCGAGTCAGAAACGATCCAATAGTTTTATAAATTCGCAACTATGAATGGCCATTTGTATATTCACATTTAAAATAGTTTCCTGCACTCAAAAATATTTTTAAAAATTGTTGTGCATTTAGAACGCCCATTTTGCAGGTAAATATACTTAGTAGGCCTAAGGCTTTCACTTTTGAGTTAATATTCTATGGTGTGCCTATTTCGCTCTACCTTTGGAATCCATATTTTTGAGCGCTTCCTCAACAACTTGAGTGCGCTTGAGTACTCAGCTTTCATCCTCCTTGCTGGAATTAAGAGTTCTCCATCGGCTTTGTTGACCAGGATGAGATCGGCCATTTCCACAATGCCTCGCTTTAGCCCCTGTAGTTCATCCCCACCGGCAGGGGGCACTACGAGGACAAGCATGTCTACCATATCGGCCACAGCATATTCAGACTGCCCAACTCCTACAACACACAAAATAAAAATGTGAGTGGAAGATCATAGAATATCGCATTGTATTTTTGTTTAAATGCCCATATATGGATGTGATATAATCATGCCCAAATATGGGTAAATTGCACAAATCTCTCAAATTAAACTTATAGTGTAAATAGAGCTTCAGATATATCTGTTCAAATAAACTGTGCATCTTTCTATATTCTGTTGTAAGCTGTACACAGCTCTACTTTATAAAGACCTGTCCAGGCTATTAAATTTCATTTAACAAAAACATGTTAACATGCCTAAATATGGTCATGATGACATCACATCACGACCATATATAGACTTATAGAATTTGATGGTGACTTAAAGTCTGATCAAACGTCTGTAGAGTTTGACAGAAAAAAATCTGATACTGATAAAAATGCCTAGCTTTAGCCTTATTGGTGGAAATCATGTGATCTAAGTACCCATTGTTTCTATGATGATAATATCATATCCAGCCCCTTCACACAACACAACTGCATCATTGGTGTTCCTAGCTACCCCTCCTAATGACCCAGAGGAGGGGGACGCTCGAATGAAGGCATTGGGATCTCGAGACAGCTCCTGCATTCTAGTCTTGTCACCAAGCAGTGACCCTGAAAAATATACAATTTTTTAGTTATGTAATGTATGTATGAAAAATTCAACTTCTGTACATAAAGTACAACTGTCAGTGCTGTAATTACAATGCTAAGGGACTTTGTGTTGCTTCACAAGATTTGAACTTATGACCCCGGTATTAAAGAGTGAGCACCAAGCTACAGCAACATTCCTTTAGAAAACGCTCTGTTTTTATACCTACCACCTGACAGTGATGATGATGGGTCAACCGCTAACACCGCCACCTTGTGTCCATCATCTGTCAGTTGTTTTCCCAAAGACTCAATCAATGTTGATTTACCAGCACCTGGAGGGCCAGTCAAACCTATATATTTTAAAATATATGCAATCAGTAAATTTTAAAAATACGGCAATGATAATTAGGATAATACTGATCTTTTTTTTGCTACCACTGCGAAAAAACATTTTTTTAAAATTACCTATTCGAAAAGAAGACGGTTTTCCAGAATTTTTATTTTCCCTTGCTTTCAAATTGGCCAGCACTGCAGTAAGCAATTCTTGAGCTTGTTTCCTTTTCGTTGGATGAGATGATTCGACGAGTGTAATTCCTTCAGCCAATCCATGTCTTTTGCTCGTAATTATGCAATCATAAATCCTCTGGACTTTACTGTCGTCGGATGTAAACATCCGTGTACATACAACAAACTGTGATCCGTATACTGATGGCTGTTTCTGTGGAAGATGGTGATGATTAAGGGCAGTTACCTGAGCGGTTTTCCATGTGGTTGTGAATAATTGCCTGCCATGCATCTTCAACAACAAACCATGCGACATGATGATCATTTATTAATCATGTTCCAAAGGTTGCTGTTTACATTGAGTCTTCTGTAAAACCCTTGAAAGAAAAATCGTAGTATCACTTAACATATCTAGCCTATAGGCAATAATATTAATACCTCCATGTAATTTTTTTAAATTTTTATAAATTAAAAAAGAAAAATGTAATTATTTTACAAATGATGATTATACCGGTGGCTATGAGTGGGCCTATTACAAAATAGTTAAAGGGGGGGTGCGGGGATGAAACGATTGATTTTTAATTTAAAATAGAGGGATGGGCGACCACAATGACGGTGACGGCACTCGATTTTGGAGCGCGGTATTCGAAAACGAGGCTCGTGAACTGGGTCCCAAAAAAAAAAAACTGGTGCTACAGGATTTTGAGCTAGTGTTATAATAAGATAGGGAATTTCCTAAAATGTACCGACTTTCAAAGGCTTGCATTCGGTAACCCCATAAAAAATCGTGTCAAACTTTAGATATTCCAATGTAAATTTGGCCGTTCTTTTCATTTATATGGGTTTTCACTTATGAAAATGTCTCAATTATGTGTAAAATAACGATTTGCCCCAGTTTTTATTTCGGAAATTTACACTAGACAGGGAGTCAGCTGATTCACTCAACCGTAACGAGCTGGTAACGACACTAGCCAACTGATGAGAATGGTCGTCGCGAGCGGAAAATTGAAAAATTAGGACTGGCGAAAATATTCAATAATAATAATATAACTAAGCCCCATTAAGAGACTTAGCTAATAAATGTATCACATGATATTATTTAAGAGGGTCCCTGAATATCAGCCGACCTTCTAAGATATGCTGGAAAGCAAGGGTCATCCTCTATAGAGATGTGTATAAGAGACAGCCTAATTATAAACAATCAAGTCATCGGACTGATATACGTTTATTAATTCAATTGAATTATTCCTCCATGATTGAATTTACGTTGACAAAACCGTTTCTCTGTAACTGCGTACGAAAACGATCAAAAAAACTCACGACTTCACACTACTCTACTGGACGTACGTATTGTCTAGGCTAGTTGCTCGATCGTCGGGACGACTTTTCGATCAGTTGCTCGCCAAAAATTACTGGTCTTGAATATTAATGAGTTGGTTAGAAAATGCTACCAACCTACTGAAAAAAGTGATCAGCCTCGTTTTCACCTGATTTTCCCGTCTCATCACATCATGTTTTGTTTCTCTAATTATCGTTACATCTCAACAATTTGAATTTTTTAAGTATTTTTCCCGAACTCAGAAAAGGTTAAATAAGCAATATATGGCCACTTGTCTCATCCCCGCACCCCCCCTTTAAGTTCCACGGAGCCATTGCTCCTTCTCATCCATCCACTCCGAGCACGACTAAGAAAGAAGGTCTAGAACCCAACCTAGGCTCGGCTAGAACTGGCCTAGGTACCCGGCACGGCAAACTCTTTTCCAACGTAGGAAGCCTAGCCTAGCCCTAGTCCCGGGGTTCAGTCGTCTTACGCGCAACCGTTGAGTATCAAACCAAACAAATTCTGATCCCAAATTCGTGCAAGTGTGCAAGACAAACTGACTAATAATAGCCTGTTAGGATCGTACTAAATCTTAGGTTTTTAGATATATACAGTTACAGCCCTAGCTAGGCCTAGGCCTAGGTCTTACCATCCCGGCGTTCTTTTGGACAAAACATGCTTCCACACCATGAAAACAACGGGAACCAAAACAAAACTTAGAGGGCATCAAACTCATATTTTCTGTTATCAGGTTGTAATTTTTTTTGCAAAAGCAAATAAGAATGGGGGCGGCAGACTGATATTTTCTCTTATCAGGTTGTATTTTTTTTACCGAAGAAAAAATGTGGCAGACTGAAATTTACCGATATCAGAATCACACTCCAGCTTTGATATCGGTGCTGTTATTGATCTATAAAATCTATATTTTATTTATTACTTAATGACAATTTAAATTAAATAATCTTCAATCAACATTCACGCTGCCGTGACTATTAAAACATAATTGCTACCCTCTATAATTACAGATTACACAAACTTTTTATGGCGCTATTTCCATAGTAAATCGATCCCATTGGAGATTTTTTTTTTTTTTTAGATTCATTATTAAGTACTTTGTCCATCACCTAGTGTAAAATGCACTGTAGTTAGTAATAAGGCGCAATCTTATTGCTCTCATTCCAAACGTTTGTCATGCGTACTTTTGGATTGCTTTATCAACCAGACAGAAACAGTGACCTGAGTTTTTAAAGATGTACTGTCCCTTAAAAATGACTAAAATCATAAAAAATTATTTTTAAATTAACTTGCTTATTTTGCAGTAACATACAAATTATTAACTTGAGCATAGAAATTATTAAATTAAAATAATGTGTTCCCCGATTTTTTAACCCTGGATAATTAAAATAAAGATAATAAAACACTTCCAGTGACTGGAAGTGTTTCGGCCGAAAATGATGATTTTTATGGGAAAGCATTTTTAAATACACTAATTTCTATGTTCAAATTGATCATTTTTATCTTACTTCAAAATGGGCAAGTAAATTTCAAAGATTTTTATGATTTTTTTTGTTTTTGTTTTCAAGGGACAGTAAATCTTTAAGGTTTAAGTTGTGTTCCTAATGTTGTACTACTACTACTACATTAAAAAATGTGTTACATAATAAAAAGAACAACACCAACATCGAAACTTCATTCAAATAACATTATTATAAATATGATAAAACTGTTATTAATGGGCAGTAGTGGATTATTTTTGCATAATTTATTGCTGATGTATTGAGCGATTGTAAACAGAGAGGGCGCAAATTTGAATTCGCGCATGGCCGGCCGGATGCTCTTTCCACGGAAAAGTATGGCAGAAATCGAAACGTATGTAAAGCGTGCAGCGGAACAGGTATGTATATTTTGAGGCCAAAAGACTTTATTAATCGTTTAAATTGTTCAAAGTTTATCATGTACTTTTATTGATTGAACTTACTTAGTTGCATACAATATTTACAAAACTCGATTTCCTAGGCCGCCTACGAGTCCCGAGGCGAGGCCGGTCGCGACTGACTTGTGGTAGGTACGGTAGGCTAGATCACCTAGGCCTAAACCAAAACCTAGAATAAAGTCGCGGCCACCTAAAGAAATGATGCAATCAAATAGGTGTTTTGCATCAGTTTGTTTATACATGTTGGACTCGAATAGCAATATGTTGTCGCACAACAATAGACCCCTTGCAATGTTTACATGGACCTGGCTGAAACGCTGGCAGCGCCCTAACTAACTGGAGGCAGAAAGACTATCTTAATAGAATACACGGTCTGGGTTATATTTATTTTTGTTGTGCCAAAAATATGATGAAAATCACATGACATATTTACATATGTTATGAATTGACAACAAAAATAAAAAGTGAAGAAACTTTATTTTTTCTATTTTTATTCAATTTTCAAACTCATTTCATCGGATGTTGCCATGTGCGAGCGCGCTAGGCCAAGAAAGTGCAAGAGTGTTGCAACATCGCCTCCGCAGGTTTGAAGGGCCTCGAATAGGCCTGTGAATTTTCAATTTACCCCTCGGTAAGGCTAGGCTAAATTTGACGAACGTTTTGAGGTATTCGTTAATAAATGGAATAATTACTCGGAAAGTAATCATTACAACAATATTTGGTAGACATTATGATATTTGCTTTAAAGTAATATTGAGGCAGTCAAATGGATTGAATATATTCTGAAAATACATTTTTCTTTGCTTCTAACTCATAGGCTGACCTTTTGCACTATGTTACTTTCAGCGTCCGTCAGATACAGATTTTTGAATATTTAAAAACTGGTGGATAAAAGGGTGTAACCGCCCTTTTTTACACCTTTTTCCCCCAGTTTTCAAATATTCAAAAATCTGTATCTCTTAGAAAAATCAGTGCTACAACATATCAAAAATGTTTTTTTCCTCTAGATCTGACTTTAAAGGTAGGAGAATAATTCATAACTTGCAGCATCATTGTCCTGAATTGCGTATGGGCGTGGTCCGTGACTACCTAACAGCCATAAAGAGGCGCTTCTTGGTAGATACATATTCACATCATTCCGCAACAAATTTCACAACAAAGGGACCACCCAACTATTTTAACCTACTTTCTTGAATAACCGAGTTGGTTTGGGGCCGAGTTGGTTTTGGGCTGAAGTGTTGTCTGGGGCCGATTTGGTTTTGGGCCAAAGTGACCAGCATTCAAACATCGTATACTGACTTAGCCCTGTTAACTCAGCCATAAATCAATTCAGATTTCAAAATTCTAGTCAGTCCCTTCAGTACTACTGTATAGGCAATACAGTACAAAAAAAAATAAATATTGATGGCCAATTTGATCTGGGACCAAGTTTGCATGGGGGCCGAATTAGCACAGCGCCAAGGGGTGGAGGCTAAATGAACTTGTGACCAGTCAATAATTTTAAGATATTTAAATTCATCAGTTTTTGTAATGATATTGATGCCGAAATTTTAATGATTGTAACTACAGTATCAATAAATGAATGTCTATCTGAATTTGATAATTATTTGGATTGATGGTTTTTACAGGAAGTTGAAATCAAGCGACTGAAAGTTGCAATCGAAAAATTGAAAAATGGGGACTTCTCCGATGTTCAGCCATCTGGTGAAAGTGAAAAGCTTCAAATAGAAAACCAAAAACTGAAATATAGAGAGGAGCATTTACTTAAGGTATATTTCAGTTTCATTTCAAAAGTTTAAGAATTATTTTCTAACTAAATTACTTTTGCTTTTACATGCTTTCATGAAAGTTGTTTATTCTCGTTCTAATAATTAAATATGATGTTGTTGGCCTACACACATCATTTCTACCATGATTTAAAATATATTGTTTAAAATAATAATAACAAATAATAATACTAAAAATTTGTTTTGCACCGGTAAACATTGAAAAGACGCTTACGGCTCATTGACACAGTAGTGCAGTTGAAAGCTTAGCCATGCTTAAATCAAATTTGTTTAATTTATTTAATCATTAACTTTAAAAAACTTAATCAATGTGGGTGTCAAGATTTTCAAATGGTCGACTGCCTCTGATAATGAAAAACATCATCACTGTCAGGTGCATGCAGTTAGGCAGCATGTAAGCATTGGGCTTTCTATTATTACAGCTGCACAGTGAGTGAACAACAGGGAGAATCGGGCCTACACTGGTGGTACGACTGTTTCTAAGAAATTTGGGCTTAAAAAAATTCAGCGTAGGTTTCTGCCTGTTATGATTTATTGTACTGTTTGAGCCTATTTAAAAATGTATATATTTTAATGCTTTTATTCAAGAGTATCGCTGCAGAGGAGGCTCGAAGTAAGTCGTACATGACCAATATCCATGGATGTCTTGTGAACATTTTTGCAACAGCTATCAACAAGGCCTACCCACAGCTTGAGGGCCCACCAGTAGCTGTCACGCCAGGCAAGAATGGGGACTACCAGTGTAATAGCTCTATGGCTATGTCAGGGGTAAGGTTTTCTTCAAACTTCTTCTTCAACCCAGCATTTAATGTTTGATCAGATTTTGCCTGAAGCCCTGTCTAGACTATCAAATTGTATTGGACAAAAACATGTGGCATGCATAAGTATGGTCATTATGACATCACATCATGACCATATATAGGCACATCTTGACTATATATAGGCACATCTTGACTATATATGGGCACATCATGACCATATATAGGCACATCGTGACCATATAGGCACATCATGATTATATATGGGCATACCGTTTTTTGTCAAAGAAAATTTGATAATCTGGGCAGACCTTCAAGCTCTGTAGCCATCAAGTGTTCTGTAGCCATCAAGTGTCTTTGGATTTTCTTTTATATGATCTACCCATATATGGGCATGATGGTGTCATTGTCATTTTTTTAATTTCCAGATGCTGAAATCCATTGGTGTTAAAAGTTCTCCAAGGGATATTGCTCAGGAGATTGTGAAGGGAATTCCCCCTAATGACATCATTGAAAAGGTATAAAAATCAAAAACTATTCTTTAAATATTTTCCTTTAAATTAAGATTAAGCCCATTCGTAGTTTGTATCCATGCCTGTATCAAGCTGAATCAACATAAACAAACATACATCATAAGTTTGTCAATTGACCTTTGACCGGGCATGCGTAGTCCAAACTATGAATTGGCTTATTATTTTCCACCTTTGATGATGTTTTCTTATACTGTTGATAAAATTTAAAAAGACGGAAGTTGCTGGACCAGGTTTCATCAACATCAATATCAGGAGGAGCTTCATCAGCCCCCTTATTTCTGAGATATTAACCGATGGGGTCAAGCCCCCAGCAGTAGGCTGGAAGAAGAGGGTCTGCTTGGATATGTCATCACCGAACATCGCCAAGGAGATGCACGTTGGTCACTTGAGGTCAACTATTATTGGTGAAAGTCTGTCACGTCTTCTAGAATTTGTAGGTAAGTACTGAAATTATTTATAATTATTCAGTTCATTATTATTATTATTATTAATGTTTAAGTCCGAATCATACAGCATGTGTGACAGATTTTAGGTCGTCATGAGATTATTAAAGGGACACATTTTTGCTGCGTGTATATTGCACATACCTGTCTGGCGTGAGCTGTGTGTCGTTCGACCCTGATTGAACACAAAATCTTAAAAATCTATGGTCAGATTTTTGTAGCAAAATTATAATATTATATGCAAATTCAAAGGTCACTGATTTATATCATATTTTAATGCATTTAAATACAAAGGTCACAACGTTTTGAAGATTAATCATCTTGGTGATTGGGGCACGCAGTTCGGTATGCTGATCGCGCATCTACAAGATATGTTCCCGAACTACCGTAACGAGTCTCCCCCACTCCAAGATCTGCAAGCTTTCTACAAGGTGAGTCGTACAGTGTCGTCATTCCCAACGCAATTCCTGTAATGAATAGAATATGAGGCCTGCCATCCCAAAAACCCGCATCAGTGCAAAAAATGGAAAATTGACTTTTTAACATATTTCTCGACATTGCAAACTTTAAATCGATGGTTCATTTACTGGAATCGAATTACTATTGCCTAAGTTATTGAGTAAAAGTATTACAGCTTCTCTGTACTAAAGTATACAATACCGGCACATTCTTGCGCTAATTACACAGTTTAACATCTAGTGACAGTATGGTGGTTTTGGGATGGCAAACCTCATATAGTGATAAGAAAAATAGGAAACATCATAAGTTTGACTCCAGAGGGCAGTATTGCCCTTATCATTTCATAATCTTGCTGTTTATTGACTCATGATGTAATCTATTTCAATGAAATTTAAATTTTCTGTATTTGTTGGATTTTAGGAATCTAAGAAAAGATTTGATGATGATGCAGACTTCAAGAAAAGAGCATATGAATGTGTTGTGAAGCTGCAGTCGAAAGATCCGAATTATATCAAAGCATGGAACTTGATATGTGACATCTCAAGACAAGGTAATTTACCCATTCTGTTGGACAATAACAATACTTTATACACATCGAGCTATTAAACAACTAGAGTGCTGACAAGGTGACGAACCAATGTTGAGTTGTGTATGTGTACCATCCAAGATGACCACCGTAGGAAAGCGCCACCTTTAGGCTCGGTATACATATTATAATCTTATATAAGCCCTCTGACTAGCTATTATTTCATTAATCATTATTATTAATAATATTAATAAATTATTAAACTATCGTAGCCAAAAATTCTCCCAAGTGGAGTATCTTATTTAAAAATATAGTAGTGAGTACTGAACATTGAGATCGTATACATTACACCCACACACCAAAATGTTCGAGTGTCAACATACAGGGAACTTAGTTGTACTCAACTTTCATGTGTATATTGAGGGCGCCATTGAAAAACCTTGATGCTTTAGGCGAATTTTGATTGGCTGAATCTACGGCAGCCATCTTGGATGTGTACCCTCACACAGCTTTGCATATTTCGAACATCAAATACATTGCAGTTAGCGCTCTAGTATTCTTATTATACCTCTATGTTTATACATCACATCAACACTTCGTAACATACCCCCCTCTATCAACAGTGTTTAAGTTTCAGATTTTATTGGCGCTCACCTTTTCAACAGTGTTTCATAACATATCTCCTCAACAATACCCATAGAGCTATTAAACAACTAGAGTGCTGACAAGATGGGGGAGCAATGCAGAGTCTGTCTCTTATACACATCTAGATGTGTATAAGAGACAGCATCTTGACTATATATGGGCACATTGTGACCATATAGGCACATCATGACCATATAGGCACATCATGACTTTATATGGGCGTACAGTTTTTTGTCAAAGAAAATTTGATAATCTGGGCAGACCTTCAAGCTCTGTGGCCATCAAGTGTCTTTTCTCTTTTCTTTTATATGATCTACCCATATATGGGCATGATGGTGTCATTGTCATTTTTTTAATTTCCAGATGCTGAAATCCATTGGTGTTAAAAGTTCTCCAAGGGATATTGCTCAGGAGATTGTGAAGGGAATTCCCCCTAATGACATCATTGAAAAGGTATAAAAATCAAAAACTATTCTTTAAATATTTTCCTTTAAATTAAGATTAAGCCCATTCGTAGTTTGAATATCCATGCCTGTATCAAGATGAATCAACATATTAAGAACTTTTTGTGTGGTAAAGAATACAAAATTGCTTGACAACCAATGCGCGCTCGTTTTGACGCGCTACTGTGATTTCACGAACTAACACAATCTACTTCGATTGTGTTAGTTCGTGATGTGAGCGACGATTTGATGATGATTTTGTTGAATTAATTTAAAGCTCTGTCGACACTCAGATTTGGTTTTGACAAAAAAACTGTTTTATGCCCATATATAATCATGACGTGCCTATACAGTGTATGGTCATGATGTGCCTATATATGGTCATGATGTGATGTCATCATGACCATATTTAGGCATGTCACATGTCTTTGTCAGATAACGTTTTGATAGCTCTGTCCACACTATCAAAGTTTCTTTGACAAAAAACTGTTGTATGCCCATATATGGTCATGGTGTGCCCATATATAGTCATGATGTGCCTATATATGGTCATGATGTGCCTATATATGGTCATGATGTGCCTATATATGGTCATGATGTGCCTATATATGGTCATGATGTGCCTATGTATGGTCATGATGTGCCTATATATGGTCATGATGTGCCCCTATATATGGTCATGATGTGCCTATATATGGTCATGATGTGACTATATATGGTCATGATGTGCCTCTATATGGTCATGAAGTGCCTATATATGGTTATGATGTGCCTATATATGGTCATAATGTGATGTCATCATGACCATATTTAAATTACCTTGCTGCATTATACTGATGAGCATTAGGACTGCAATTGAAATCTCGTTGTTGGGATTTTTTCTTTTCCTGTTTCTGTCTCTAAAATGCATGGCATTTCTAAATTACAGACAAAAGGTACTAAATCTATTATAACAACAGTGTATCTATAACATAACCCCTCTACCAGATTTCACAACAATGAATTGAAGATAAATAAATACCAGGCAACAATTCTTGTACCAGTCCGTACTATTCATGTACAAGAAGATAATAATATACCACTCCATTAAGACTTGACAATTGAAGATATAGACATGATAACAATGGGCCTTCTTGTATACCGTAACAAAAGCCCTTAAAGAAATATATTTGCTATTTGCAGTCATTCTAAACAATGGAAATCGATACTGAAAGTGTAACTTATGCTATACAATATACCAACATTTTTTGAGTCCATGTTGAGTTAAGAATAAATATATTCCAGACAAAGTAAATAATCACAAATATATAAATAGCTCTCTAAATTTACCTGCATTGCAGAACATGTAAGCTATCAGAAGATTGAAATTTTTAATTTATTGAAATTTTATATGATTTTAATACTTTTCTGAAGTTTGAAGCTCAATGGCATATATAAGGAAGGTGTTTGGGGAATGGGGATGCACCACCACCTTGGAAATAGTGTGTTCACAAATTGAAAAACTTGCTCAATTAGTTGAAAGTCATCATGTCAATACTTTGAGATATGCCACTGATCAAGATAATACAGAGGCGGATCCAGAGATGTTCGAAAAAGAGGGGTGGGAGCACCGAAAGGGGAAGATCAATAGACGACACTACCTTAGGGGGTCTGTGGACATTCCCCGAAAATAACCATCAATTTAAAAATACATTTATTTTCTTCCATTTGCAGTCAAATAACAGAGATCATTAAAAACATTGGGTTTATGAAACAAAATAAAAAGGAAGATAGGTTTATGAAACAAAATAAAAAGGAAGATGGCACTACTAGACAGTAACAATGACGCATTGAATATAAATCAAGACAATTGAACGTTCTCTACCCATCCCCTAAGCAATAGCAACATTTTACAAAGACCATGCCAACCATGACCACACAATAACCACAATTTATCAGTGAGACAATGGTTGCTGCAGCGAGAACATTTAACCGTGAGAACAGTTGGCAGAGTAGGAATCTTTTGGTTTCGGTCTATATAGCTTTTGTCTGTATTTATTTCTTACTACCTGTGTACCTCTGTACATTCCCATGAACTAGAGGTATATTATTTTGTTTTTTATCAGTAATCAAATTGGTTAGGAGAATTTTACCAATTTGATATCTTTTTAGAGCTGATTTAGCATACTCGGGTACAAAATATCCCATTTTCAAAATTACAAATCGTGTGCATGCTCGGTACGTAGATGTTCTTCACTAGATTTCTAATGACATTGCCATGTGTATTTCTCGATCCAATTTTAGTAACAGGCCATCATAATAATACATGGATAGGATAATTAATTACTATCCTTATATTCGTAATAATTCAATGATAGATACAAAGAACTCGGTTAGGAATCATTGGGCTTATTCGACTGGTTCATTTCGTTGACCATAATTTTTTTGTTCAGTATTATTTTCATTCGACTGGTTCGTAAAATGGACTTCGTTGACAACGAAAATTAACGTCAACCAGAGTGCGTTAATCAGCGTTAAGTTATCCACATGACCAAAACAAACATGGCCGATTGGTCAGTTTACCAACAACATTTCCATTAATATAATTTAGATAAAATTTCAGAAAATAAAATTTATAACATTTACCCACAGAATAATTTTTTATGCTAAATCAGTTCTAAACTTTGGTAAACTTCTTTCAATAATGTGAAATTGATGCTAAATAAAAGTCTTAAATGTAATTAAAATGATTTTGATTGTTATTATAAACATACTTAGTACAGAAAATATGTAAAGTGATTTCAAGGTGGTATTTTTTTTTCTTCTAGAGTTTGAAAAAATTTATGCCCGGCTTGATATCAAGAATTTAATTCCTCGGGGTGAATCCTTCTACCAGGATCGTATGAAAGATGTTGTCACAGAATTGGAAGAAAAGGGTATTAAACACATTTATTTATTTTAAATTGATCTGTCAAATAATTGATTGAATGTTGAATTTGACTGATTGCTTGAGTTTTATTATTAATTTATTTAAATTGATTTATTTGATGGATAAATTTTATAGCTTGATTGATTGCTTGGGGGATTAAATTGATGGATTTTATTTTATTTAGTTAATTTATTGTGTAGTGAGTGATGTATTTGATTTGACCAATTTGTTTAATTTCTTGATTTATTTAATTGATTAATTGATTGATTTGATTGTTTGATGGATTTAAATGACTTTTTTGATTGATTTAAATGATTGATTTGATTGGTTCATTGATTTGAATGACTAATTTTATTGATTTGATTGGTTGATTGATTTAAGTGATTTACTGGATTGATTTGATTGGTTCATTGATTTAAATAACTTATTTGATTGGTTAATTTTGGTTGACTTGGTTGTTTGATTAGATATTGATTGATTTATTGATTAGCAATTTAATCTTTTCAAATTAAAAATACAAATACCATAAATATAATGATAATATTGACAATTTCATATGTTTACTATAGGTATGCTTGAAGAGGACGATGGCAGAAAGGTGATGTTTGCACCTGGCGCACCAATCCCTCTGACAATCGTTAAATCTGACGGTGGGTTTACCTACGACACGTCAGATATGACAGCTATCAAACATCGTTTAGATGATGAGTCTGGTGAATGGCTTCTGTACGTGGTTGATGCAGGACAGGTAATTTCTTTAGCTTAGTTAATAATTAGATATTTTGCTAACAATCCTAGGTATCAGGTATTTTTTCTTATGAGATTCTTTTGCCCATATATTGAGCATCACGTAACTCAATTCCATAATTGGCAAGTTCTGTACTTATTTTTAAATTAAATTCTAAATTAGTGAAATAAGTTATAAAGTTCAAAGCTGCATAGTATACAAGTCTTTTGTAATCCGTATCTCTTGCCGATAACCATTAGTTGCTAGAAAAGCATTCTAAACATTGCATCTGTCATCTCCTTTTACACTATATCATTAATATAGAATTAATTTTAGATGCTAATTAACCAATATACTAGTTAATATGGTTTCTTTTTTTTTTACAGGGCGTACACTTCCAGTGTTTATTTGCTTGTGCCAAAAAAGCTGGGTTCCTGAATCCAAAGAACATTCGTTGCGAGCACATAGCATTCGGAGTTGTTCTTGGAGAAGATAAGTAAGTTGAAAAGCTGCATTCCCACTAATTTCAGTAGCGTATCTAGGGGAGAGGGCACGACCCCAAAAGAGTGTGCGTTGCCCCCACTGGAAATTTCCCAAGCAAAAAATGACGATCTAGTAGATAAAAAAATATCAACTTGTTTTGCCAGCCAGCACCTCCTCCTCACTTGGTCATCAAGCACTTTAAACTTGTTTAAAATGAAATTATCAGCCTAATTTTTAGTCTCTAAATATGCTGTCTCTTATACACATCTAGATGTGTATAAGAGACAGGAGTCGTACCGCTCTTCACACTTGCATATTGAACCGATATTGACTTCTCTTAGTCTTTCGAAAGTGTACTTGATACCCTATTCTATTAACTCAATATGATTATTGGATGACCTTGGTCGAGTCGTACCGCTCTTCACACTTGGATAATGAATCAATATTGACTTCCTTTAGTCTTTTCGAAGTGTACTTGATACCGTTTTATCTTAACTCAAAATGATTAGTGGATCTATTGACCTTTATTTTTGCTTTCGTACATATCAGAAAGAAGTTTAAAACTCGTTCAGGTGACACGGTTCGATTGGCGGACTTACTCGATGAAGGAATTAGAAGATCACGAGAAAAACTTATGGAAAGAGGGCGTGACAAGGTGATTATTGTGCCAAAGTTGTTTTTATGTTATATATTTAATTTTTTTATTCTAAGACCACTTTTTTTATAACTTTGCATTATCATTCAGTTTATTGTTAATTAAAACTATGCTATAATTATTGCTTCTCTAAATCTTATAATATTTAAAGTCTTATTACAGGTCTTCCTCTGGTTGAGACGCCCTCAAATTAAAGAACACTTTCCTGTGGTCCCAAATTTAAAAAAGTCTGTTAACTTTCTTATTTTAATTAGAGACCAAACCTGCTAAATACCATGGAAACTCCGGCCCCATAAGTTTTCGTTAATTGGAGGCAGACCTGTATTCTATAAATCATTGTTATCACAATAGACCATTCCATTCCCAACTTTTGAGAATTGTTTGCTAAGTTCCCACAAACAACAGTGTTGCGCACTAAGCATGTGTGATTGTGCACTTAATTCTGGCTCTATTTTTATTAGTCAGTTTGATTGATTGATTATTTGATGGGTTGATTGATTGATTTATTGATTGATTTATTGTTTGATGGGTTGATTGATTGATTTTATTTATTGTTTGATGGGTCCATTGATTGATTTATCGTTTGATTGGTTGATTGATTGATTTATTGATTGATTTATTGTTTGATGGGTTGATTGATTGATTTGATTTATTGTTTGATGGGTCCATTGATTGATTTATCGTTTGATTGGTTGATTGATTTATTTTTTGATTGATTTATTGTTTGATGGGTTGATTGATTGATTTTATTTATTGTTTGATGGGTCCATTGATTGATTTATCGTTTGATTGGTTGATTGATTTATTTTTTGATTGATTTATTATTTGATGGGTTGATTGATTGATTTTATTTATTGTTTGATGGGTCCATTGATTGATTTATCGTTTGATTGGTTGATTGATTTATTTTTTGATTGATTTATTGTTTGATGGGTTGATTGACTGATTTGTTGATTTATTGTTTGACTTATTGATTGATTGATTTATTGTTTGATGAGTCCATTAATTGATTTATTGTTTGATTGATTTATTGTTTGATTGATTGATTTATTGTTTAATAGGTTGATTGATAGATTCATTGATTTATTGTTTAATTGATTTATTAATTTATTGATTAATTGATAGGTTAATTAATTGATTGATGTATTGTTTGATGGGTGGATTGGTTCATTTATTGATTGATTTATTGTTTTGATGGGTTCATTGATTGATTTATTGTTTGATAGGTTGATTGATTGATTTATTATTTGATGGGTTGATTGATTGATTTATGGATTTATTGTTTGATTGATTGATTGATTTATTGATTGATTTATTAATTGATTTAATGTTTGATGGGTCCATTGATTGATTGAAAGATAGATTGGCAATCAATTTTTTTCTCTAGGTGTTGACAGCTAAGGAGATGAAGGCTGCGGAAGAAGCCATTGCCTATGGATGCATCAAGTATGCTGACCTCTCACACAATCGGGTCAATGATTATGTCTTTTCATTTGATAAGGTATTTGTTAATGCAACTTTAAATTGTTAAAAAAAATACTTTATTATTATTAGGCCAAAAAAATATTGTAGATAAAATGATTTATTTTCTTTTCAAATGTTAGACGTCATTTGATAAGGCATTCCTTAGCGCAACTTTAAATTTGTTTAGAAAATGTTATTACTGTTAGGCCAAAGAAATTATTGTAAATAAAATAATTAATTTTTTTTATTTTAGATGTCAGACGTCATTTGATAAAGTATTCCTTAATGTAACTTTAAATTATTTGAAAAACTGTGTTATAATTAGACCCAAAATATTATTGTAGATAAAATAATTTATTTTCTTTTCAGATGTTAGACGACAAAGGAAATACCGCTGTGTACCTGCTGTATGCATACACTCGAATCAAGTAAGTTACAAGTAATTTTTAATCATGCTTTAATATATGTAAAAACTACAAATGCATTTGCTTCATATTCTAAATTAAGTTCAGGTTATTTGTCATATATTCTAATGTACTAATAATACGTGACCTTGTTTTCAATCATGTTTTTAAGTGCTTTTATGTGAAGTGTCCACTTGGAATTGTTTATGAGTGTGCTACTACCTCATTATATTATCTTTATGTCTCTGGGCAAATATTTTTGTATCTATGTTGACTCTATTTCCCAAACGCCAAGTTCCTGTTAGATTAAAATACATTGATTTAGAGTAGCTACAATGCAAAATTGAACGTAAACATTTGCTAAACGAACCAGAAAAATGATATGAAGCACATAGCCGGGTCTCAGTAAGGCCAATAAAAAAAAATATTAGTTGCTTGTCCTCCTTGCGCATCCATTTTCTCTGCCTCACAATTTTTTTTTTTATTTCCTTCATTTTTACGAAATGTATGAAAATCTGGGTAACTGCATTGTTGGACATTTTTTAAGGACGTCTCTCACTTGATTGACCCCAGGAGTTTCAAAACTTTCACACTCCCGTGAGCAAGCAAAAATCTGTTCAGACATCGGCATCGGTTCCTTTCTCGATCATTCATGGTTGGGGATACATATGGTATGAATCATGTCTAGTGCTTCTTTTGTTTGCTTTCAATGTGTCTACTTGGTAAAAAGGGAGAAAGTAGTAGCTGTTTTCCATCAACCATCTTGGATTTGCCATCTCGGAATCATAAAAAAAAAAAATGCCCTTATTCTTCCTTTTTTGCAAAATACAAGGAACAAGAAACTACTTTTTTTTTTAGCTTTGTCTGATATGTTGTTGTTAAGTCTGACATTTTTTTTTCTATCATTCAATAAGGTTATTTTTTAATGTAAATTACTTTGTTTGTTTCATTGTTGTATTAAAATATTTTGTGCAAATTATTGAAGTAATTTCATACCTTTTGGAATTAATACAATTTTTATCTTCCTTTTTTATGAACGATTATTAGTGTTAGTATTTTGTATTTTTTTTATATATATATATATATATATATTTTAATAATTGTATGTTTGGGGCTTTTATGTGTTTATTGAATGAATGACATCCATCAGTGAGAATGAATTAAATTTCAACAAGGACCATAAATACAGCTTTACATCATTATCAGTAATAAGAGTATTAGTGTCATTCTGAAAAAGTAGAATTGTCTATGTTTACATTTGGTATGTTATAGAACATCATTTCGTCTTTATCATTTGAGTATGAATTTATTTTTAAATTATTACAACAATTATATTTAAAATGAAATTATCAGCCTAATTTTTAGTCTCTAAATATGTTACACAAAACAAGTCCAATAGTATACTGTACATACAGCTTTGTCTCATCAGTACCTTTATTTGAAATTAATACAATTTTTATCTTCCTTTTTATGAACGATTATTAATGTTATTGTTACTATTTAATTTTATATATATATA